CACAAAGCATTCCTTTTCATACTTCCCGTTAGCATAACTCCACAGGCTTCTATGCACTTCTCATCACCCTTGAATTCTTTACTAATTCTCTCAGTCTTACATTATAAAAAATCAAAACAATAATGCTTTTAGATTTTTATTCATTCCTTTATAATATGTATATGAATGCATTTATGCTTAAATTATGTATTCAAAATATACTTTTTTAAAAGCAGATATTCACCAGTCACCATTCTGATTGATACTTGGGTCTCTGAATGGCCCAAACACTTTCTGTATTATATTGTCTCATTCAGCACATCCATTCTTGTCATATTTTTTTTTTTTTACTAGACTGCATTCATTCAGAATGTTGCACAGTTTTTCCAAAAACTAATTTCTGGTTCTTCCATTATTAGTATTCATTGGAGTGTAACATGCAACAATCACCAACTGTGCATACCTACTTTCATACATACTCATAACAAGATCACACCAGTTCATATTTTCTGACATATTTTCTAACCCTTTAATTCATAATTAAACCTACATCTTCATTTGCCTGCATGTGTCTGTCAGCTCTACAAGATTAAGCCACATTCCTTCAGATCTATTATATCTTTCTTTTAGTTTCAGAGATATACAATATATCTATTTTCTTTCTTTCATCTAATTCATTAATGTTCTTTACAATTTACTCCTCATGCATTCTAGGTTGCAGTCTTCCATGTATCATGGTCATCATAGCCCATAGATATTGACCTCCATTGCCTGTCATAATTTTAGTCAACAGTGGCTTCCACATAAGACTTTTTAGTAAGATAGAGAAGGTGTGAGCTAGGTTAGTAGCCATAGGTACACCTGTCCCATATACTGTATTCCCTGTTAATGGTAAAGATAATAATGATCAGTTTGTGCACATTTTGGCAACCAAACCCAATTTTAGATCTCTAATCTAGAAAGACTAATCTAGAGATTATTTGTAAATCAACACAGCTGCCTGCATCCCATCAGTTAGAATGCATATGCATGACTGACATACACTTAGGATACATGCTGTTTTATATCTTTATAAATGACCTAGATGATGGAAAAGATGTTAGAATATGCTAACCATGAATAACTACATCATTTTATGAATTATGTATATTAATGCCACTGCTTTGTTGCTAGCATATAATGCAGTGATATGATGATAAAGTATATTTTTTGCCATGCGTTTCTGTGAATGGACTGTATGAAAGAAGAAATATGTGAAATTTACTCAAAACAGGCCAGAAGGCAGAAGAGTTTATTCAGGAAGACTTCAGCTTATGCAAATGTGGAGAATAGCAACTTCAAAAAAGGCACAACAAGTTATGGCTTTAGTAACCAAAGGTTGTTTCCAAAACAACAGCTAGTGAACCGAGTGAGGCAATAATACTCCATAGAAAAGTATCAGATATGAGAAATATGCACAAATGGGACTGGCCAAACTTTGATGGACTGGTTAAATACCATAGTCAATGGTACTGGATGCCACTGAGAGACCTAAGAAGATTAGGAGAGGTGTACTCCCCTGTCGGATCTCATTTCAGGTTATCTACCAGTGTGACCAGTGCAGTTTCCATTCTGTGAGCAGATCTGAACTCTGACTGAAAGGGATCCAGATTAGCTTTTTCATTTATAGCACTTTGCAACTGAAGAACCACCATAGCCTTCTCCAGGACAGTAGTTGTATAATGGTTAGGTTTTGAGAATGCCTCTTCAGGAAAGGGCATGTCATCATCTCTTCAAGGCAGGTTGTAGTGCCTCTTTCCCTTATTAGATACCGATAACTGTAATGAGCTTTGAAAATAACCTTGAGAGACAGAAGGAAGATCTGCAGCCTAGACAATGGTCTGATAAATGAAATATGAGCCCAAACCAGAAATGTAATTTGAGAAAGTGTCTCAGAATTGACCATCCCCTAGTTCTCTGGAATGTAAAGGCAAGGGAGGACTTTCAGACTTGCAAGATTCTGTTACTGTAACCTTACAATAAAGTAGTTTTAGTGTTCATGATTTTGGTTTCCTGGGCTGGACTATCTTGGAAGGTTGACAGTAACCTCCCTGTTCCAGTCAATAATCCCATCTCTGGGCTTTCAAAGGAACCATGGCAGGGATAGAGTTCATGAGCAGGAGTATTCAGATTGTCTAGAATCCTATCCACTTCCTTGAAATCCAGAGGATGATAATCCCAGATAATATTTTAAGTCTCCATGTATTCTGCCTTTATAGAATCAACATTTGAGTGAATGTGTGCAATTTTACTGGTGAAATGCTGCCCACAACTCTCATAGCAGCATGCTGGCAAATCTTGCCAATTCTCATCCCATAGAAAGAAGAGGGTCATCCTAAATAAAGATGCTGCACTGTTTGTTGACGCAATAAGACTGGAGAAGAAAGAATGTTTCAGGATCATTATCAACATGATGGAGGCTCAAATATGAGCTCTTACCTCTGTTTGGACAAGTTGACTTCTAGTCTACTGATGCTCTAGGTTGTTTCATTACTTGGTAGAACAAGAGGCACCCCTGGATCAGCAAACAGGAGACTCTACTTGTGAAGTGCTGTGGTCACCTCTGTTTTCCAGATCTGGATCAAGCACTCTTTGGGACTGCCTTCCAGATTGCTGGGAAAAACTCCAAGTGTTGGAATTCATTTGATCCATAATGTATCTTGGTCAGACCAGTTTAAAGGGTCTACCTGCCTTGTGGGGGTTTGAAGAAGCAACAAAATAAAACAAACCCAGTGATGATCTGACCATGACAAAGGATTAACAGTGATGTCCTCTATTTCCAGAAAATCATGTAACTGCTTTGAGTTGAAAACTAAATTTAATGCATGACCACTCATGTATGTAGGCTAGAAATTATTCTGGACAAACCCATGGTTACCATGGAGGCCACAGATTCCTGAATTCCATTTAAACTCCATTTCAAGGACTAGATACTGATATCCCTCAGAACTATATACCATGAAGACTCCAATACCTGCCTGGAGATGAAATTCAGGAGTCTAGGGAAGGCCTCTGTTGAATAGCAAAGTGGGTGGAACAAGCAGAATATCCAGGTTGCCCTTATAGCCTAGTATCACAAATAGGCACTCTCAGCCCAACACCTTATAAGCAAAGCCCCTGCTTGTCACCAGACTTTCTTTAAGGATCAATCTCTCTCTTTCCCTGGCCCTCCTCCCCCATCTTGGCATCATGGCTTATGTAGGAACCAAAACTAAGGAAAACAGATCTCAAAGAGGGTGACACTGCCTCCCTGGTAATACATATCAGGTCTGTGGATGTACATAGCTTTATTATATACAGATCTAGCATTTACCAGGAGAAACCTGAAGCCAAGACTTCCAATAATCTGGTCTTCTAGATTGTGGAATGAGGCTATTGGGCTAGAAGTGGTGATCAGCTCCAAAATTCAAATTTTCTTTCCCCTGGAAAAACCTGCATAAATCCAACAGGATGATATTCAACAGTGGCATGTGTATGGTCCTATGTCCAGGTAGCAAAAATCAAATATATAATATAGGATTAGTAGGTCTTACTGGAACAGCTGAACATGAGCAAGCAGTTTGATACAGCTGTTAAAAGGCCAGTATAATTTTGAACTGTCTTAATATGTTACAAATATCTGGCTCATAGGTGGTAATAGTTTTGTACTAATTACATTTCGCTTGGAGTAGTATGTCTCTTCTGTGCTATGCACATTCAAAGGGACATGGAGAAGCCAGAGTGGTCCAGAAAAGAGCCACTAGGATGATAAGAGGTCTGGAAACCAAGCCCTATAAAGAACAGTTAAAGGAGCTGGGCATGTTTAGCTTCCCAAAGAGAAGATTGAGAAGAGGTATGGAAGTTGTCTATAAGTATCTAAAAGTCTGTCAGATGCCAGAAAGGACAGACCTTTTCTCTGATGAAATTGAGGGCAGGACAAAGATCAACAAATTGAAATTAAAAGAAAGAGATTATTTGGAGGAATTTCTTGACAGTAAGTTGTTAAGCAGTGGAACAGTCTGTCTAGTACAGTAGTGAACTTCCACTTGCTAGAGATTTTCAAATGGGGATTGTGACTTAGCTTAGAGACATGGCTTAGTAGAGTCCTGCATTGAACAAAGGGTTGGAAAAATCACCCTTTCAGTTCATACATTCTATGATTTATAATTCAATAGAATTTACCAATATATTATAATGCAATGTTTTAATAGTGAGATCTCATTTAAAAAATGGATAAGTATTATAGCAAATTAAAATATTCTTTCATTAGCTTCTGAACCATGCTGTCTTTAAAATGTATTGATTAGATTTATATCCCAACTTTCATCCAAGAGCGAAAGTTAGTGTATATAACACTCCCTTCCTCCATGTTTTTCTCACAATCCTGAGGGTAGTTTGGACTGAGAGATGGTAACTGGCCCAAAGTCAGCCACTGAGCTTGCATGGCTTAGAATAAAATTGAACTTGGCCCTCCTAGTCCCAATCCAAGATCTTTATGTAAATCTTTACATAAAATCTTTATCTAAGCAATAATCATAATAGTTCAGTCAATTATGAGCAAAAATTTAAAAAAACAACACTAAAGTAAAATAGATGAGATGAGATAAAATATCTAAGAGTTCATGTCTTATATGTTTTTAGGTCCTATATTGTGGCTGATGTTCCTTGCTTTTGTAGTTATGCAACAATGGGCCACTGGCAATACTTAACGGGACATGATATACAGATATGCTCTGTGGAACAGATCATGTTAAGACTTGTTCTAGGCAAAACTTTTCATAAGAAAAAAGACAAGAGTGGCAAGTGGCAATGTTGTCTGTCGGGAAAATAGGTCTAACTGGATACATAATGTTACATGGAAAGAAACTCAAGTTTATAAGGTGCTATAAGAATAAATTATCCACAGTGATAATGTTATCTGGTTTTAGAGTAAATTTTGGCTACTTTGGTAAGATTGGAAGTTGAGGGTGTGACATTTTTTTTTCTTTTCACTTGTGCTGCAGACATTATTCGCAGTGATATTGCACTGGACAAACAAAAAGGCTGTAAGATTGCCCAGCATCCTGACATCATGTTGGAATTACAAAGAGAAAAGGCAGCTCAGATGCACCTGGTTCTCCTCAAGGAGCAATTCTCTAACACCTACACAAATCTCACACTTACAGGTAAGGCTACAAGGTTATCTTGAGCTAAGGATCATTATTCCACTGAAATTATAGTAGAACATACTGCTCATGTTTCATGATGAAAAGAGAAAGAAAACTATTAATGAAAGCCTACTGATGACAAACTAGCAGGGAATACCAGAGAAGTAGGCTAGACTGGAAAGTTGAAAAATACCCCAGAAGAAGGCAGTGGCAAACCACTTCTGTACTGTTGCCAAGAAAACTGAGTGGATTCATCCATAAAGTCAGCAGTAGTTAAGCTTAACTTGAAAGAGATTTTATTTATAGTTACAGGGCCATGGGAAGATTCTGTATAGATAGCACAAAACCAACTGGAATGTTATACAAATTAAAATATGATCTTGAATTTGCCTCCTCGCTTTGCTGGCAACCTGAATATTGCAAATTATAACAGTAAGAGAATATATCCAAGTCCAATATTATATAAAATTTATATTAGACAAGGACATATAATAGGAGAGTGCATGAAGGCTAATTCTCCTATCTGCATAATCTCATACAAGAGTCATCATAGGCTTGGATGCCTAACAATTTCTCCTGGCATTGTATCAGGAAGACTTGAACTTTGGCTATGACTAGGGTTCTGTTAATGGAGCCATGATAGCAAGACTTACTCATCATTATTTAAACATGAAAGCAACGAATAATTGCACCATAAAGTTGAGTTTTATGTTCATATTAAATACATTACACTGATGTATTTTTATGGAATATTATCTCATATTCCAAACACATACTGGATTTCCATTTAAGAAATCCTTTAATCATTGTCCTGCATTTTGAAGAATAATTCATTATTTCACATATCTTAGACTTAATTTAAGAATAATTACCTTTTCTATTTTCAGTGTTGGTTTATTTTCAGGATAATGTTCTTGGGACAAGTAGGTTATTTTCCTATATAACCCAATTTCAACTCATCCAAATCTAGATGCAGCATTACATTTAAAAACCATTTTTTAATAATATTAAGGCAACCATTCTTACAATCACTTGTTTACAATATATTCCAGCTGGCAATGACTTTTGGGGTGTGTGTGTGAGGGGTAGAGTGAATCTGACTTTCAGTTCATAATCTCTGATCTAAATTATTATTTGAAAAAAATAATTATAGCTATTTTTCAGTGCAGTTTTCATGAGAGAGAGAGCACTGAAATCTCTTCTCTAAAGAGTTAATTATTATTCCTTTTTTTAAAGTGCCTGATAGTAGAGACAGAGGATGATTGATAGATCTAGTAGAAGTTGTCTACAGATGTTTACATGTGTCTTTGCCCACACAAGTGAATCAAGGCATTTTGTAGCATTTTGGCAGTACTGAAAATAGCAGTGCATAAGGTTTTTTAATTGTTTTGTTTTTAAATAAAAGCTTCGTCCTCTCTCCCTGCTCTTGCTTGCCTCAACAGAAGAGATGCAGCAATTACTAAATTTGGTGTCCTTGAAGCTAAAGCAGCATATGCACTTTGTGTGAACCCAGTAAATATTAAAGAGCAAATATAAAAGAGATAATGGCCCAGATGGAGCAGAGTGGCTGTTTCTATTATGGGTGTTGTTTGAATTATCCATTAAATCCATGGAATGACTGACAGGCTGTGAAGGAAAGATGCAAGGTGCTTGTAAACTGCTTAAGTTCTGCCCTGCCAGTGAGAGAATAGAAGGGAAGGATCCAGCTCTCCTATCTCTGGCCAGTGAGTGATACTGAAAAGCCCACCAAGTGGTATCCAGGGTTGTTGCCATGTATACTGGAAGGAATGCTGAATGGATGCTGAATTGTGGTCACATGCACTTTATCCTGATAAACATGGCATCCCACCATGTGGAGAGAAAATGGGAACCACCTGGGCTAAAGTTTGTCTCAGCTTCATGAGGAAGAGAGATAGCTATGGTAGAGACCTAGACTTGCACCTGGCAGATGTTAGGACAGGATCTCTTTGAGCCATTTCTCATTCTCAATAACACAGTCTTCTTGATTGTTTAATTGTACTGAGCGCTTGGAATCTCCCCTGACAACTTGCTTATTCTTCAGTAAATAAACTGACCCTCAAAGGGAGGGTTGTTCCCTCCTGCACTGTTCTCCAAAGCAATTTCAAAGAGGCCTAGAACATTGTTCACATTTTTCTTTGGACCTGTTGCCTAAAAGCACCTGGTTATTGCAGTGTCTTGGCGTTTTACAATGTGTTAATGGACAAAGAGGGACGTTTTCAGCAATACAGTCTCAGTAAAACAGAACTTGCCCAAAGTAGTGAAATTGTGCCCCATCTCCTTGAATGGGATCTATATAGCCTGATAATCATTAGGAAGTTTAATCTCTGATTTCATAAAGGTATCTGAGCCTTAGTTTCTTAGAGAACAGAGCATAATATTTACTTCTAACTAGTCAGAGCCATGTAAATATTTTTCTTTCTGGTGATGGATTCTGTGTGTTGGGTTGTGCAATGAAGCTAAGAGAACTATGCACCAAGACAGTTACACCTGCACTTTCAGGTTCTGAGCAAAACAAAGGACAACAAAGCATAACAAAGAAGGTAAGATAACACAGGTATTTTTTTTTCTTAAAAAGAGGACATGGGCAGCGTAGCAGTTCAGGTTTGCATAGGTGTTATCAAGGCATTTTGATTTGTTTGTTTATCAAATCTTGATTTGTCTCAAGTGAATCGTTCACCATTCAACATCCTCTAAGTTTTAGTCTTTGCTTCAGAGAAAATAATAATAATAAAATGTAATAAAATATGTTTACTTTGCTTTCGAACTTCATTTTCTTTCTTTGCCAAATGAATAAACAAAAGAACAAGAGGATAAGGGCAAGGAGAAGAAGGAGATAAGTGAGCTCTAAATTGGTTGTGATGATACCTGTGTTAAAGATGAATTTCTGAGTGAAAATTAACTCTCACTATGTTTCAAGAACATTAAAACTAGCAGTGTTCACCTATGGTTTCATCATCCATCCATCCATCCATCCATCCATCCATCCATCCATCCATCCTTATTTTTTGTATCAAAACAATATTTAATCCTACTTTTTTTAATTAAAGGTA